CCCCTTTTTTTTCTTTTTTTTTTTTTTCTCTCCCCCCCCCCCCCCCCCCCCCCCCCCCCCCCCCTGTGTCCTCCGTCTGTCTCCAGGGCGACCATGTGATCAGGAAGAGTCACCCTCTGCTGCACCACGAGCCCCCGATGGAGACGGAGGTTCTGGATGAAACGGTTCTGCAGCTGGAGAAACACAACCAGGAACAGAAACAAAGCCAGGCCCGGGACCAGAAAGCTGGGCTGCAGGATTTGGACAGCTGCATTGTTAGAGAACACACAACAACACAAACTCTTTTACACCAGTCACTGCGTATCAGCCTGTATAAAATGGGTTCGGAATAGTCTGCATGGACACCAGAAGTCCTGCTGTAAAATCAACACATCTCATCCTAACTTCTTAAAAAAATCAAGATAAAAACCTGTTTTTGCTCTTTAGATGACTCCTAAATCCAAGAGGAGGAGTATTCTGGTGAGGATGCTGCGACCCGTCTCTGTGGCGTTCGGTGAGTGACAGAAACTGACATAAAGTTACACCGGGTAGCAACTGGTGTTTCCTGGTGTCTTTCTCAGGCGCACAATAGATAAGACCCGCCTTCTTGACATTCAGCAACCAATCAGATAACGACAACTCTGAAATGTTTGTTTTTAAATCTTGTTTTAGATTCTTTGCTGGATTCCAGACCAGTAAGCGCTAATCATGATTAACTGTTAACTTTGCCTTCTGTTTGATCGACAGAGATGGAGTTTGACCTGGACAAGGCTCTGGAGGAGGTTCCTATCCATGTGGAGGACCCTCCTCTTCCTCCTCCTCCTGCACAGCCATTGGACATTGGAGTGTCATCCTACTATGGAGACCACCCCCCTCCCCCTACTCCACTGGATACAAAGCCGATCTGTTTGGGCGAGTTGCCGCCTGTAGAGCACAAGATGCTGGAGCATCACACCAAACTCCGACCGAAACCCAAGAAGAGGACAAAACCCAGCCGACCAGCTGTAGGTTTAATCCCCCCATCATCAGTGATACCGATCTGTGTTTTGTTTTGTTATATATTCTGTTGTATATCAGTATCAATATCAATAGTCTTGACCTAGAATGAATACTCTTACTCTTCAGCCCAGGACTTGATAAAGATGGTGCAGCTCAATTGGCTGTTGAGGTTGTTAACTTGCTGATAACATTACTGGCAGAATAAATACAACTGAGCGCCATCTCTCTGTCTCCACCTCTGCTCAGCGGAAGGCCGCCGGCAGCTCGACGTCGCAGGAGGCAGAGCAGAACAGCATCATGGGAAAGCTGGATGAGGGCCTGGAGGACTTCTTCTCCAAGAAAGTCATCAAACTCAGCTTCAAGTGAGAGTTAAGCTTCAGACTGAAACGATTGTGATGTGCACGTAAAAAACATAAAAACACAGATCGCTTCACGTCCTTTGATGACGATTTGTGTTAAAAACAACTCTGTAAAACTGATCATTTTTTTAAAATCCGTTTGATTAAAAGTGAAGTAAAGTTGTGTGTCATCGGCATAGAAAAGTAACCGGATGCTTTCTCACAATATGAACACATGTGAGATGTTGTTGGTTTGTAAGGCTGGATAAAGTATATTTCTTTCTAATAATTTAAATGTTGTATCTTCTCTAGACTCCCCTCTGGCAGAGGTCCATCCTCCAGCACGCAGGAAGCAGCAGATAAGAAACGGGAATCCAGAAAGAGCGGTTTCTTTAACCTTATCAAATCCCGGACGTCCCGCTCAGAGAAGAGCCACGGAGCCGCCTCCATCACTCCACCCCAAGCTGCCTCCTCCGCCTCTGCTTCACCCTCTCCCTCAGTTACCCAAGTGACCGAGGAAACAACGCCAACACCCCCCACTCCTCCCGCGAGAAACCCGGGCACTGTGGCGGAGCCCCATCGGGAACTCCACAGGGCTCCATCCTCGGACCACACGGATTCTGAAACGGAGACCTCTCAGACCGCCGCCGAACCTGCTGAGGAGAAGAATGTGGAGGATAAGGAGAATGTGGAGAGGAAGGAGAACCTCCACATTCCCCGCCATATTGGGGTCCCTGTGATGGGCATGGACCTGCTGGCTGAGATGAAGGCCAGACAGGAGAGAATGGCTGAAAAGAAGGTGGGTGGAGCTCATGGGTCAACACTTCTAAAGCATTTGATACCATCGTTAAACCAATATCTTGGTACCAGAAAGCCTCAATACAAACGTGAGAACATACAGCTGGATGAAATAACATTTTTAACAATTTAAAAAAGGTGTCTTGTAGTCTAGCTAGCTATAGTAGCTGTTTTTCCATGGCAACAGCTAAAAAGTGTGCGCTGACAAGGGCTGAAACGTTCAGATCAACTTTTATATTTTATACACGATACCTTGTTGTGAAGGTTTCCACTTCTTGCTGTTATTAATGCATGAACATTGATGAGGACTGATTGATAGTAAATTGCATCAAAAATAAGTTTTATTGTTACTAGACAACATTTTAATAAGAACTTTAAAACAAAGAGTCAGAGAGCTGGAGTATGGAAGCCCAGAGGGGACAAGAGGCTTTATAATGTATCACATGTGAATGTGTTGTTAGAGTAAAAATTCTAATGAATGCACTTTCATTTTTACAAACTTGTATGGGCAGTCTATGACCAAACTTTGATTTACAATTTGAGCGTGATATATATGCTATTGAGGAATTACATTCTCCGTTTTAGTCGTAGTAGTAGTTCTAGTAATAGTCTAAAACAAATATATATATTTTATTTTGTGTGTTAAATTGTATCCTCATTTTCTTTAGTTGGAGGGAGGCTGATATCTAACAATGTCATCGCCAATGACTTCTCTTGATAGTTGTGCACAAGACAATAAATCACTTCAAACTTGAATAAAAGCTCTCCTCTCTGTTTGCAGGCTGAGTTGTCATCCTTACAGGACAATGTGGACAATGATAAAGGTGAGTTTCATGTTACCTGTTGACCTATGTTGGAATTTCTATCCATACTTAGAAGGTTAAGTTGCAGTTTATATATATAAATATCACTCCTAAACTGTCTCTGGTCATTTCCCTCCATCCTGTTGTCCCAGCGGACGCTGATGAGTCCAAACCAGAGCCGACTCCCAGGTCCAAACCACCAAGCGTCACCCCCAAACCGCCCCCACCTCAGGCCACCAAACCTCCGCTTGGGGCCCGGACTTCTGCGCCCCTCAGTCCTGCCAGTCCGACCAGCCCCAGGCCGGGCAGCACCTACATCTTCGGTGGGCAATGATTTGGAGAAACAGGGAAACAAGAGACATACTATACTAGTTTTTAGGGTTTTTTTCTCAGACAGACAAGAACAGCTGTTTCAAAATATCTTTATTTCCCCAAGCAGGAATGTGATTCTTATATAAATGTGTATTTGTACTAAATCAATTCATTGTTTTATTGTGCTCCGTTTCTCAGATGAGTCCGCTGAGGCTCCAGCAGGCAGCTCATCTGCCAAAGGACCACTTCCCGCTCCTCGCCTGAAGAGGGCGCCGTCAGAGCAGGAGAGAGAGAGCATCAGCAGCAGCTCTGCAGGACCGCTGTCTCCACTGGACGGTTGGTTTCTCCTCATGAAGGCCTCAGTAGCAGCGATACTTACAGGAGTTTGGTCATATTTTGATAAAGATCACATTTGAAAGAATTGGCTGATTTTTGATGAAATTCAGTTGGTGAAATTTTAGTTAAGAATTTACCAGACTTCTATTAAATTAACTTTCAGGTTATCTTTGATCTTTGTCGTTTTATATGCTGTTTTATTTGCATCATTTCAACGATTTTATATACAAATTAAGTAGCCAAATCGGAGAAAGAAAGAATGAATCAGCAGAGAATCTACAAGCACTGAAGGGATGAATACTGTGGAGAAGATGGCCGACAGACAGCCTTGGTTGCTGGGATACTTACTTTCTTTCTTCCTGATGAAGGTTGTATGACTCAGCGCTCCATATGAACCGCCGCACAGCTGAAAATATAACACTCAATGTAACAGGTGACAGTTTGATTAATGAATGCTTTCAAGGCCGTGTGTGTGTGTGTGTGTGTGTGTGTGTGTGTGTGTGTGTGTGTGTGATTTTGTAGTTGAACTCTCTACTTGTATAATTAACACTTTCAGGAAGTATTTTTCCCTAAAACAGCGGTTCTATGTAATTGTCGCGGAAAAGACGTTTTTAAAATCAAAGTGACGAGAAGAAAAAGGTCCTTACACACGTGAAGAGTGTTTATTACACACGTGAAGAGTGTTTATTACACACTGACAAGTTATTTCAGGTTCGGTCAGTTGTTAAGGATGTCCTTCTCTAGCTTGAGCATATCTTCAACAGAACTCAGAGAGCATGACCTCTGGCTTAGTGTTTAAACCTACATCATATCTTTATATGCAGTCACATAACAAAACATTACAAAATGAAGTATGAACATTCAAATCAGACCACAAAATAAATACAGATCAAGAGTGTATTTCCACACTCATTCTGTATGAAGTTTATGATTTCGTGACTCCTTATAAGGTGCTTGATTTGATATTCAGAGCATGAATTTCATCTTTAAAGCTGGTGTCATTTTGTCGTCCGTTGCTTGTTTTGAAAACAGAATTTATCGTAATTTTCTGTTTTCCATCAGTCTAAAAGAGAAGGAATCTTTCTTCTCTCCCTGCAGGTGAGTTCCCCGTGGACGGTGATGCGTTCGAGCCGCCCGGTTCTCCGGTCGAGCCGGGCGCCGGTGGCCGACAGTGGTCGTCTCTGAAGAGCTCAGCCGGTCCTCCCGCTGTGAGCGAGGACGAACGGGAGCGAGCCAAGTCCCTCCCCGCCTACGGTCCGACTAATCACCGCCCTGTCAATCTCATGAATCCTGTTTCCGTCTCTGCACGGTTTTCTAAATGTCGCACAAATCCCCCTTCAGAACGTCTGCTCTGTTTACTGACTGCACTTACACATTGAATCAAGCGTGAAGCGATAGTTTTCCTTCTATGGTACTTTAATTCAATTTCCCAGTCAGATGGGAAAACATCTTCCACTGTTTTAGTTCCCCCTCATTCTCTTTGCTCATCTATACTCTCTCTCTCTCTCTCTCTCTCTTCAGCGAGGCCTCCGTCTCTCACAGACACAGATCTCAGTCCAGCTGAGGAGGAGATTCTTCCTCCGGCCGCTGATCTCAAGTCTGACAACAAATCAGAGGAGGAGTCCGACGACGCCCCTCCGGTCTGACACCAGCCAGATGTTTACGCTCTCTGAATCCTCTCCACACCAACGAGGTCAATCACACAAAAACAGTGATTCTTAACATTTTTACATTTCCTGGTGAGGCACATGCAAACAGAGTGTTTAGCATGTGTCGTGCTGTTTTCTGCGGAGTTTCCTGATCTTGGATCAGTCCCAGCTGTCCGGCTAAATAGACACAAACGGCTCCATTAGCGTCTCTGTCAACAGCTCTAATAGGACCATAAAGAACAGAGCAGATGGCTTTTATCTGGTGCAGAGACAATGTGCTGCTGCTTAGATACAGAGAGGTGCGTGATTCCAGAGCACCGAGGAGGTCCAGACTGAAGTAGTTCGGTTTGACTCTATTTCTCTTCTGCAGGTGAACTATTGCTGGTAATTCAGTGACTTCTACCAGCAGGTTTTCTGGAGATAAGACTCAAAAGAAGTCTTTGTTCTATCCTGCAATCATTCACTCCTTATCTTGAAACACAAAAAAAACTGTCCACAAATTAGAAAATGCCAAAATTAGCATCAGCGGGAACAGATGAGCAACAAGAAAAGTGTCAAAAACCAAAGAACGCTCTCTGCTGCTGAGCCAAAGTTACTTTTCTACTCAAACTAATGTTGAGACTAATTAAGACAAACATGTGAGTCAGCTTTTTGTTTCATCTTAACTGTCTCTTCATCTTAATAGAGACTTTGTTTCATGATGCTAATGATGTTAACCTGACGAGTTGATAACCGCACAAGCTTTTATTCCATTTCAAGGAAACAGAAGATGGGAAATGTTACCTTGACCGTGTTTTGGAATTGGCTTGATATTTGTTTTTAAATTGCATATATTATTGTAAACCATAAGTTTAATGATATTAAATGTCATCGCGGCTAGTCGGGGCTTTGCTGGGTTTAACGGTCTAGTTCAACTGCTTCTCGTGGTCCCGCCCGTCAATGAAGAGTGTGAGATGTGGCTGAAAGCTCTGCAAAATATAATCTAGTAAATGGGCCTTCATTTGAGATTATTTTGTAAACTATTTCCGAAATCGAGACGCTCAGTAACAAAGTGTAAGTTTCAGTTCTGCAGATATTTCTTACACTTTAAAAATCTATCGTTGAGATTTTTACAGTGTAAGGTCAGATGTAACGCTGCGTTCAGGTCACGGCAGAGTCTCCGGGATTAACAGTTTCTCTACATAACGACACATAAACACTGCTGCTGTATCCTCACCATAACACAGCTTATCGTGTACTGCTGCACTTACTGTTGTATCGATGTAAATATGCACTAACGTTCCCATGTGTTTATGGTTCCGTTTGTGAAATAAATGGGGTTTATATCGGAGTAAAATGCACAAACTCTGGGGTTTATATTGTATTATGAGCAGACAATCAACAGCGTGCTGTTGAATCTGCACAGATAGATGGTGGTGGTTTTCTATTTTATTGGGAAATATTTTTGTCAGAATCTAAATGTTCTTTTTTTTTCTTTTAAAGATTTGAAAGTAAAAATGTGTTTTATTGTTTATATGCCATCAAATGTACAAACCTGGAAATGTGACGTCCAACTGTCAGATCTTTCTGTATTTGTATGTTTTATTTGACCAATAAATGCAGTTTTACTCTCTCTCTCAGTCTGTTTCTCCCCCTCCTCCCTCCCTCCCTCCCTCCCTCCCTCTCCCTCCTTCAGATACAAGCTGCTGAATCCCTCTTTAGTCTGGAGGTGAAATCAGAAAACGTCTTATTTCCGTGGATAACAGACCGTCTCTCTCTCGTCTCTGCATCTTTAGAAGAAGCGTTTCTTTAGTTTTAGTTTTGTTGTCCCCAGCTCGACCTGTGGACTGGTCCTCAGCACCATGGACAGCGCCTTGGACCGCCTGGACGCTGCAGGTTTTCTACAGATCTGGCAACATTTCGACGTAGACGGTAAGAAGGGTTTTAATGGCTCGGACGTCGGTTTGTTCAGCGAGCTAAACTGAGTAAATAATGTGATTTCTTGTGCCTGTAAATGCAGCAAAAATAAAACGGTGTATTGAATAACAACACAGTCATTCAGAGAAGACGTTTAGCTGACGGTGTAATAATCGTGGTAAATTAGGACTTGTGTGTCATGATGGCTGTTTAATTGCGGGTTCATACAGAACATCACAGCTGAGACAAGTCACAACATTATCCGTCACCTCTGCAGAAAACATCCAGATACTTTAAAAAGAATCAACATGTCATCAATAAAGAATGTATTCATCCAAAGTTAAAGAACTGCAGGGATAATAATCACACTTGCAGTAAAGAAGTACAGCCCAACATGAGTTTGTGTTGTGAAATCCTAATTTAAGGGGTCATTTGCATAATCGTGACATTTCACTTCAAGACCCTAACCCCAGACTGGGACCTCCTGGGTGTGTACTAGATACTTAGAACGCCATTCTACCTTCCTAAAAGTATTATCTAATCTAATTATAATCTAAGGAGGAATGTCACATCTCTCCTTAGAGGTTTTTGTGTGATTTTTAGCTGCCAATTTTGCAAGATAACAATAAACTGAGGCATGAATCAATCTCACCGAAAAGTCTAGTAGTAGCTGTTCTAGATTATTTTTTATTTATTATATCGCATGATCTCTGTCGGAAGGAGGACTTTCAATCTCAGTTACATGATGTGATTCATGAAACCTTGAGAAAGAGACAGTCAGGGCGTTTTAGAGCTTTTAAAGGAGCAGTGTGAAGGATTTAATATGGTTTTATTAGTGTATAATCGCCTGAAAATAGGAGTCATTGTGTTTTCGGTCGCTAAGAAAAGGCCGTTTATATCTATAAATGGAGCAGGTCCTCTTCACAGAGTCCACCATGTTTCTACAGAAGCCCAGAACGGACAAACCAAACAGTGGCTCTAGAGCGAGACTTTCAGGTTTGTACCAGGCGGCAACCTCCGGTTCTGAAGAGTGAAGCCAATGCTTCATGTGTTAAAGCTGCATTCTCTCTACTGACCAGCAGGGGGCGACTCCTCTGGTTGTATAGAAGTCTATGAGAAAATGACTCTACTTCTCTCTTGATTTATTACCTCAGTAAACATTGTAAACATGAGTTTATGGTCTCAATCTCTAGTTTCAAGTCTTCTTCAATACAGCATGATGTTCATTTAGTACATTATGGTCCATTTAGAGTCAAACAGACCATAAAGCAGGGGATGCTTTAGGGCGGGGCTACACGGTGATTGACAGTCACTCCTCTTCAGTCCAAATATGGTCACTTCCTGTTCACTGGTTGTAAAAAGCTAAAATGGTGACGGATAAAATCCAAGATGGCGACGGCCAAATCGCCAAACTCGATGCTACAAAACGGCAGTCCTCAAACCAATTGTTGTAATCTGCAAACTCACCACTAGATGTCACTAAATCCGACACACTGCTCCTTTAAAGTCAGTTTAGGGAAGTTTGTCCTTACTCGATATTATGTTTGCATAATTACAAGAATGTTTCAATATTCATTCTTAACAGAAACAGAGATAATCAGTTAAAAACTCAACCATCCAGCTTAAGTGAAACATATATACTTACCTTTCACCCTCTTGATTCATACTTGTATAAATGTTGTCTTTGAATCTACACAAACCGTTTTACTGGACTCTTAATCTTAATATTTTCATGAAAAAGTAAAAGTAGAACGTCTCCTTTATGTTCTGCTGAGCTGCTGTTTGAGCTGAAGGCGCCTGGTTGTGTTTCTAGATAACGGTTACATCGAAGGAAAGGAGCTGGACGCCTTCTTTCAACACATGCTGGAAACATTTGGGATGAAGGTAAAGAGATCAAATGTGATCTGCTTTTCACCTAAAGGTTGATCAAATAAAATATAAAATAAACACCTCAACTTTTCAGTTTTATCTCTACAACCTCGTCTGATCGGTGAAAGTTATTTAAGTTTGACTTTATTAATTATACTAATTATACTTTATTTAAGCGTTTCATTTTCACCTCTTCATCACAGTACGCTGCTTTGTGTCAGTGTTTTATTTGATGAACCACCAGGGGGTTATGTGTGTGTGCACCGTAGAAGTAACTACACTGATATATCCACGTAGCATTCAGCTTTTAAAATGGTAACAAAATAAAATTCTGCCTCAGTAAACTTGAAATCTCCATAAAGTCCATGTTGTTTTCAGAAGGAGGAGATAACGGAGGACAAGATCAGAAGACTGAGAGGAAGATTCATGTCCGCTTACGACACCGCAGCTGACCGACGTCTGCAGATACAAGAGGTACAAATCTCCTCTTTCCCTCCGAGCTGGTTCTGGGCAGTAGAAGAGTCTAAACTGACAGTATTTATGGATATGTTTAGCCTGTGGTCAGAGTAAGATACTCAGGTGATGTTTCAGTTGTTGGTGGAGATCGATCTTAGTGCATTTAGTAAAGAAACCTTCAGTTACAATGTTTGTTTTTGGGGTTTTTTCTCCAGCTGGCCACCGTGATGCTGCCGGAGGAGGAGAACTTCCTGCTTCTGTTTCGCAGAGAGACGCCGCTGGACAACAGCGTGGAGTTCATGAGGGTGAGGGGTCAAAGGAGCTCAACAACCCCAAACATGATTTTAATGTAAAGCTATAGAGGACGTGATGTTTGTTCACTTTACAGATCTGTCACTTACCTCTCTTTTATTAAAGCCCCAAAATAAACATTTGTGTGTCAGGTATTCTCTCCGTGTTGCCTTCAATTCTTGAAGAACATGTAGTTTTTCCTCTCACACCTCCACGACGAACGAAGAATCAAAAATCTTCAAAAAAGATTTTAAAAAAATTTGGAAAAAAGTCTTGATGAATTAAACGGGAGCCGTGTTAAACAACAGCAAAACGACATCAGGACAACGTTCACACTGCTCGTGCAGAATAATCCAAGTCTCATTTATCCTAAAACTTAACAAGTTAAAACACTTTGACATAAACTGTCTTACTTTTCTCAGTTCTTTTAATTCTTTGTTCACCGTAGAGACCAGAGAGAGAAACTCCAGGTGTGAGTAACTGATACACAAATAGTCATTTTGTGGGTGAAATATTCCTTTAATTGAATCATTATGACGGACGGAGGATGACTCAGTCGATCAACTTCAAAAAACTGGTTTGATTTTCACGAATTTTGCTGTGAATATTCGTCACCGGAGAACGATTACTAAACATGAGATAGCAGACAGACTTACATCACTTTTGACTTGAGCACCACCTTCAGGACAAACTACGCTTTTAAGAGAACAGAAACGTAGAAAACTGTCACTATACTCATGATTTACATGTTGAAGGTTGTCATGAACATTGCCCTTGCTGGACTCAAACTTTATATTATATTTATTGCATTTGTAGTAATCGGTGTCTTGTCTGTGTAGATCTGGAGGAGCTATGACTCGGACAGCAGCGGCTACATCTCAGCGATTGAGCTCAAGGTAACTCTGGTGCTCAGGTTGACTATCGCAGTGGATCTTGTGTTTGTGACTATTGATTTATAGACGGGACTTGAAAGCACTAATGACAGAAATCAATTTAACATAGAGTTCCAAGGTGGAGGTAGATGGGTCCAGTTCAGTAATGTCACTTCAGTGGTTATTTGAACCCAAACGACGATCTTTTCCTAAAACTAACTAAGCGATTTTGTTGCCAAAACAAGTTGCTTCCTGTGAAGACTGAAGTTCATTTTGAAAAGACTGTGTTCATGTAATGAGCTGAAATTGATACGTGTTGCTGGACTTTCAGAGGAAAACGCACAAAAATGAGAGATCAGAGATCATACGAACGCAGACACACTTTCCTTAAGTCTTCATTTCTGCAGACGTTGCCTGAAGGAATTACCCACAGTTCATAGCATTGGGATGTTAAACATGGGGTGACCAGGTGGGAAACCCGAGAGTAAAAAAAAAAGGTAACGGAGCATGGCCTCTCGTCCTGAACATCTGAGCTTGTGGCTCTCACCGGCTAAAACCTCTGCGTGGTCCTAATGCACCCCCCGTTACACCCTTTTTTCCTTTTTGTCCCTTCAGGGCTTCCTGCAGGAGCTCTTCCTTCAGCACAGGAAGTCCATCACCCCTGAACAACTGGAGCAGTACACTGACACCATGGTAACCAGATGTTCGTGCTGCTGACTTCTTCTTGTCATCCACAAAATAATTCCGGTTTGTTTTCTTCCTGTAGATGAAGATGTTTGACAAGAACGGCAGACTGGACTTAAACGACATGGCCAGGTACTGCTGATCTCTCCATCAGATGTCATTTGAATCATTCATCTCTTAAATCTGCCACTTGACTCTTAAAATGAGGATAATTCTGTCTCTAAAGAATAAGAATAAAATAACTTGTTTCTCGTTTTCCGAAGAATCTTGGACCTGAAAGAAAACTTCCTACTGAAGTTCAAGATGGACGTAAGTTTGAAGAGTTTATTGAGATGTTTTTCAATCGTACTTTTAGTTGAACTGATAGATGATCCTGGATATGTAATACTAGTTTCATGACTCTCCTTGCTGTCTTTGGTGTCAGGCTTGCAGTCAGGAGGACAGGAAGAGAGACTTTGAGAAGATATTTGCTCACTATGACGTTGTAAGTTTGCATTTAGATTTTCTTTGATGTCTTTCTGACATACATGTCCTGTAAAATAACGCTTGAATATTTGCTTCATGAATATTTGTTCATGTTGAATGCTGATTGGAAGACAATATACATTTAAATATATTAGTTTATCAACTAATAGATATCACGAAACGTTTCCAGTTGATTACTTAAATAATGACAATTATTTTTTGTGCTACAAGTTTCTAAAATTGTATGTTCCAATATGCAAATGAGGCATTGTCATATTAAATATGTGCTAATTTACATACATTCCCAGAACATAAATGTAAACATTGAATAAGGCCAGGTTCAAAAGTCTTGTTTCATTTTGTTGACATATTAGAGTCAAAGGTTTTTACAGAGGGGATTTATGATGTCTCTTTATATCACTCCATAAATCAGAAAATACTGTCAACAGACATAAAACATCCCCTTTCTCCATGTTTATATTAATGAATGTATAAATGAGTGTGTGAACTAACCCCTCTGTGTGAACCTTCAGCACACAGAGAGGAATGAAAGAGTGAAGTTTGGTGAATGTAAGAGCTGCTGAAGTGGAGATTTATCATCAGAGTCTGAGAACAAACTCATTTAGAGGAAACGTCCTTTAAAGAGACGTTTAGTTCCATTACAGACATTTAGAGACTCTACAGGTGAACACATGA